ACAAATATTCAATGACTCTAGAAAGTTTCTGCTTGGAGGTACAATACACATCACTATCTCTGTTCAAAGCAATTCACATGCCTGATGCCTATTCCCTTCCACAAGGAAGCCCTGCAAGTCAATTTCAACAGACTGTAGAATCCCATTAAGGGAAGCAGGAAGCAATTAACTGAGAGCAATAATACCATCTACCACAAGCCAGGTGATGGATTTCCAGAAATTTACTTTCATCCAAGTTCTAAACACAAGTATTAAAAACGTAAGTATTAAGACTTTTGTTGAGGTTGCAAGAGACAAGAAGAGATATTAGTAAAACACATGAATTAATTTTCTTTGTCAGGGCCTGGTTAATAATCCAGAAAGTATGTAAAGTTCACCTCTATGAAGAGAAATTTATCTGAAGGTTTATCTAGGATTGAGTCATTAAAAAGTACCTTATTATAGATTCACAGTTTAATGTTTTTAGACATTTAGAAAATGTCTAATTGATAACAACAAAGTGACTAAGATAGAGGGTGGTTAGCAGTCAACACTTGGAGGCTGGCAGGTGGCATAGTGGTTAAAGACACTGGATTCCCACATGGCTGAATGTGGTTCAAGTCCTGGACCTGGCGGCCTCCTTTCTCACATTCTCTCTCTCTCTCTGTCTCTTTCTGATAAAATTTTAAAAAATGATAATAAATGGAATTAAATAAATAATTATTTTATAAAAGAGTCAACACTTGTCTGGGAACCAGCAGTTGGCGTAATGGCTATGTCGCTGGACTCCCACGTAGTCAACCGCGGTTCGCATCCCGGACCCGGTGGCTTAAAACTCATGCCGGGCGCGTGTGCGTGCGTGCCCAAGATCCAGAGAGGACAATGGAGGAGAAGGGATTGCAGCATGACCATCCCCCCTGGGGGGTGATTTCTCACTTTCTGTCTCTCTGTCTCTCTCTGTCTGTCTGGCAAGCGCATACACCCTATAGCGAAAAACCTCTCAAAAAAAAAAAAAAACACTTGTCAAAATCATGCAGGCAAAATATCCATCTCTCTACTCACCTCCTAGCCCTATACTCCAACCTCCTCACCTCCTAATTAGCATTACCACTTGCCTGATTCTACAACTTCTTCTTAAGACAGTACTGTCTTCTTTAGGCCTAGACATATATTTCCCCAGTCTCTTCTTATTCGTTGTGTTGGGTTTTGAGTTCTTTACTTAATCAGACATAATGGCACACTTAGGACCCCTTTTAGTTTCTATTCCTTGACAATTCGAAGGTGATGACCATCCTGACTCCTGAAATCTTACAATAGTGTTGCCTATTTTTGCATCTAGGTTCTTTCACTCAATATAAGATTTGTGGGAGCAGATAATTTTTGTGATGGGTGAATAGACGCCCACTGGGTGAATGAATATATCCCAACATATTTGTTCATTCTACCCTGGATGGACGTTTGGGTAGTTTCCAGTTGAGGGCTATTGTATTATGAATGAAGTGACTGTGAACATTCTATTGCAGCTCATGTCTTTCCAAAAACTCAATTTACAGATTTTTTTTTTTAGGTTGATACCTAGGACTAAGATGCCTGGGTCATAGGTCATGTGTGCTTTGAGCTTTAATTGTCTTTCACAGTGATGGTACCATTCTCCAGTCTTCTAATAAGGATTCACACTCATGCCTATAAGCCCTAATAATTTTCCCAGTATTTTCTTTTCTTTCCTTTTCTTTTTTTAGAGAAAGATTTATGCTATAGGGCATGTGCACTTGCCAGAGGGACAGAAAGAAACAGATAGTGAGAAACCATCCCCTAGAGGGATGGTCACGTCACAATCCCTGCTCCTCTAGTCTCCTCTCAGGATATTTGGTTGCACACACGTGCCCAGCATGAGTTTAAGCTGCCGGGTCTGTGACTCTAACCACAATCAACTATTTGGGAATTCAGCAACGTAACCATTACGCCATCTGCTGGTCCTAGTTTTCACAGTATTTTCAAAGGAAGCAAACCTAATACCCAGCGCTTCTGATTCCAAGCGTAGTGCTTTTTCCATTCAGTAAATTCTAGGTAACGCCTCCCCTCCTTTCCTCTCCTCAATAGTGTGCTGCCTTTCCCCTTACCTCCTCACAGGTGCTAGCTAGTTGTTCATGAGCCTTTAAGGTGTTCCTTTCAAAGACAGACAGTGGGGATTCCAAACAATCCATCACGAGACTCCAGAGCTCCAAAAAAGTCTAATCTACAGTAATGAACTGGAAGAAAGAGAAAGAAACAATTTCAGTCACAGAAAAGTCTTCAGGCAGAATTGCTCAAATGGCTGTTGATCTGAGTAGAGTCACCCTTGATGAAACACAACAGAAACTAGAAAGATTCCCTTTACCATGTGGACTGCGGGCAAACAGGCTGGCGAGCAATTCAAACCCTGCCTCTCCACACTGGTGCACGGGAACCAAAGGGAATCCACAGATATAAACTGCAGTCTTCCATGTCTCCACCAGGGGACCATGGGCAGCATCTGCTCCAGGCTTCCTGAGGATGGCCCTTGTCTGAGCCTCATGCATGAAGAAACGAGGTGGAAAGGACTGAGAAGGATGACAAGAAAATCAAGCCCAACCTCCTCCCGACGGCCCCCTCAGGTGTGCATCTGTTCCCCAATTCTGTTATAATGAAAGAAAATAATTTTTATATATTTTGATAATTTCAATGTCTGGATTTGAATGTTAAAGGTATTAATTAATCGTGAAATACTTCAATACTTGAATATAAGGCCTCTCAAGCCTAATGTGCAAATTTATGTAAAAACAATGTGAAAATTAGAAATGCGTTGGCACATTTTTTTAACCAGAATTGTAGCACTCTGTCTAGTCAAACAGACTGCTCATTTGCAAGCTGTCTATATGCAAAGCATTCTGCCCCTGGGAGCCTAAAATCTCCTTAGCAAGTCATCTGAAATTTGAGAAGAGCTTTGTTCTGAGCCTGCTTTCTGCCCTCTTCACTTTCTCTTCTCTGCTTCCAGCACTGTGGGTAAAAAAAGCAGAGGACCAATTATAACTGCCCAACCCAGAAACACGCAGGCCCCAAAACGTGACGCTCACCCTGGCAATCCATCTGAGGGCAAAGGAGGGTATCTAAATACCTCTGTGCACTGGCCTTGCACTCTAACCTCTTAAATTTAAGAGAAATTTCAAAATCCAAATCCTTCCAATCTGCAGGACAACTTTTCTTTGCTGACAAGACCTGGTAAAGTAAAGAGGTTATTAAGTCCCGGGCTGGCTCACCTAACGTTCGAGGTGAAAGGAAAGTAGGGCAGAGGGAAAACAAACTGACTGAACTGCACAGCGTCAGCCTCTCCCAGCCCCTGGCAGACGCGAGGGTGAGCAGCAGGGGGAGCAGCTGGTGCATGGGCCTGCTGGCATGACAGAAGAGGCCAGAGGGCAGTCCCAGGAGATGCTTGGAGGGGAAGCAGGGCAGGGCCGAGTCATCCCACACCTACCTTGGGAGGAAAGTCCTCCCTGAGAGTCACCTGACTAATCATCCAACCTCTGGGTAGGAGAGGGCTGTGGAACAGACAGGAGGATCTACCAGCACTTGGCAGGCAGCCAGGCTGGAGGTTATACAGCAGCTCCCCCAGCAGGAGAAGGCAGGGGTGAGACATGGCAGCAGAAGAGCCTCCCAGGAGAGGAACAACGGTGAGCACAAGTCACGGCCACCCTTCCAGGAAGTGACTCGGTCGTTCCCAGTAGATTAAAGGGACAACACCATGAGCCCCAGTAGTTGGGACATTTTACTCTGTTGATGCTTCTGGTTCATGGCCCATTGGCTGGTCACAGCTCATGTTCACTCAAGTTATAGAAAAGGTCCATTTTCCCACAGATTGAATTGTTCTACAAACTCTCCTTTCAGTGTGACCAGAAAGTTCAGTTTTCACCAACTTGGGTACAATCAACCCCCTGGCATCAGTATTCTAAAGCCTTGCTACTCAAAGTGCAGTCCTAGACCATCAGCGGTGAGTTTGTTAGAAAAAAAAAAAAAAAAAAGTCCAACCTAGGCTTCCAGAATCAGAACTGGCATTTTAACAAGTACCCCACGGGCTTTGTGTACGCACTGAGTTTCAAGAAGTTCTGCTCTAAGGTCGTGTTCCACATTCCTACCAAGCCAGACTGACTGCTGCCTGCCATAGTCAGAAAGCTGAAGTCTAGTGACAAGCTGAAGAACCTCAAATAAAGCACTTCATTTCCTCAACTCTTTTCCTCATCCTCCTAACTTAAAGATGGTCAAATGAAATAATAACTTAGAATTTGTCCTACTAATTGTGAATCATACACATTTAGAAATAATCGTGAAATTACTCAGTACTTTTCTTGTGCTGTGATCTGACTCAATAATTGGGTCATAAACTCTAAAAGCAGGACAGTCTCATTCTCTTATTGTCCCCAACACCTAACTACTGTGTTCTGTCCATCATGAGGTTGACTCTGACTTTTACAAAAAGCAATCCCCTTTGCAATACCCCCTCACATACACAGAAAAAAAAAATTAATATCAATTCCTTACTCCAAGCACAAAGACATCCTGTCACTTTGACCTAATCCTCTGAGGTTCATCCTTCTAAATAACTGTATTGTCTCTACCTACAAAGCACTTTGTTACTATGGCAACACATACATGATTGCATGTGTAAGTAACTGAGGATGCCTCTAGGAGTCAGATTCCTCCCGACCAGAAAACACAGAAGACAGAAGACAGTCAGTCCTCCCAAATGTTACTTTCCCACAGGTTTGCATGAAGGTCCAAGAGGCTTCCTAAACTTACATATCCTTTATGAACCAATCAAGGAAACATCAATACAGTGTAGAGATCGGATCTGGGTTCCAGTTGAGTCTGTTCCTAATTCGCAATATAATTTGACACAGGAGACTTGACTTCTCAGAGCACAAACCACCCCCTACTCAAAAAGAGATGAGGGCACAATATGCTTTCGTTCAACTCGGCGCCTACGATGCTCTGTAATACTCATAGTTGATTTTAAGCGTCACTTAACTGAAATTATTCAACAAACCTTCCTGGTGTTAAACATTAACACAGTCCTTTATATGTGGCACGGGTTCATTATCATGCCAATAAATGATTAATTAAAATTTTCTGTCTGGACCAGTAATTTCCCTGGACTTTTATGATTCATAATTCATACTGTGTTGTAATGTTACCTCTCGAAACTGACATACTAGCATTTATTGTTTTTTATTGCTTCTCTGAGCTGGCTTTTGAAAGAGACACCAAGTGACACATGTTTAGGAAGGGTTTAAAAGTTTGAGGAGGTCGAAGGAGGCATTACTTATCTCAACAGGCGGGACCCAGCCGGCTGCCTCCGCAGACGCGGCAATTGAGCAGCAAGCCGAGCGATGAGCAGCTCCATGGAATGTTCGGCCAATGCTACGGTGTGCGAAGGAGCGTCCTGCGTGCTACCCGAGAGCAACTTCAACAATGTCCTGAGCGTGGTCCTGAGCACGGTGCTGACCATCCTGTTGGCCCTGGTTATGTTCTCCATGGGGTGCAACGTGGAAATCCAGAAGTTCCTGGGGCACGTAAAGAGGCCGTGGGGCATCTTTATTGGCTTCCTCTGTCAGTTTGGCATCATGCCCCTCACTGGATTCATCCTGTCGGTGGCCTTTGATGTCCTCCCGATCCAGGCGGTGGTAGTGCTCATTATGGGCTGCTGCCCCGGAGGATCTGCCTCCAACATCTTGGCCTATTGGGTCGATGGCGACATGGACCTAAGGTAAGAGACCTGCCCCTCTGGTGGCTACAATCACAGTGAATTAATCTTTTCAGAAGCCTACAGCACCTGCATGTCCATCTGCTTTGCCATGGGTCTAAAGTAGTACTGAGGAACTAAGCAGGAGACAAATAACTCATCCACATAGCTCCCCGCATTGCTGCCTGCCTAGTGAAATTTGGGGCTCCTGTCTGTGTTTGTGTTTTTTAATCTAACTCAGATAACCAAGAGTTGCATAATTGCTATTTATCTCTGGGGGGAAAAATCAGTCTTTCCAAAAAGAAATCTTTCCCAAGCCACAAGCCACAAGCCCAGAAAGTTTGTTCTGTTGGTATAGAGATAAACAAAAATAAATAAAACTCATTTTCTTTGTAATGATGAGAAGCTTCGAGTGCAATCACAAAATCAAGCCGTTTGTCAATCGGTAGACTCAGGAGAGACAATGGTCAACTCCAAATGCAGCCAGTCCTCCAGGCAAGCTTTTTTAAACCTAAGAAAAAATTTATAAATCTGCTTTACTTCTACTGGCATTAAAAGAAGAATTTAAAAAATAAAAATAAATAAAAAATAAAACCTGCGGCAGCTTCTTTTTTTTAATTATGCTTACCTTACTATAAAATAAACAGAAAATGGTTTCTCCATTTCCCACAGAGTAATCTAAATTGCCATGTTTGCCCAATTCATCCTGTGCCGGTCTGAACTAGCACTTGGGGAAAAAAAGCTAATACAAATAAGATGAAGCATTAATGTGATCAGACCGAGAATTTTAATGCTGAAAGTTGAATAGACGAATGTCTTCCTTACCTCACCCTTTCTCATTTCCTGTGAAAGGTATACATCTGTGCAAACCCTCCAGGTGTTAATGCACAGTGCTCATTAAATCCTGTACAGTAGGCAATCGGCTGTGCTCATCCCAGCTTCCACACTCAGAAGAGATGCTCAGTGTGGAGAAATGTAACCGCTGGACTGACTGAGTGCCTAGTCAGTGTTTAGGAGCCTGCTGACTCATCTGATCTGGTACTGATGTCTTCAGAAGCTCTAGAAAATCATACCAACTATCCACCTTCACATTATTTAATTTAACATCAGTAAATGCAGTATCTACCTCATGGTCCTTTTTTATTTTTTATGTATTTTTTATTTTAGTTATTTATTTCTTTTAGACAAGATTTCATCTTTTCAATCCTCCAGCCTCAGGCTCCAAGTTGGGACCACAGGAGTGCACACTGTACTTGTCTCTTTGTTAGACAGGGTCTTGCTATGTTGCTTAGGCCATCCTTGAGCTTAAGATCCTCCTGCCTCAGCTTCCCATGACAGGTGCACACCCCTACTTGAAGACTGGCCTTTAAAATGAAAGAGGAATCAAACCCAGGCCTCACATGTGGTCCCAGCCTGAAGGGCACAACATATTAACAGTGTCCCACCTTAAGTGGATTTCACTTTTCTTCTTTTTTTTTTATTTATTTTTTTTTTTTTGGAAAGACCTATACAAGAACTAAGGATAGCAAGTGCTGTCCAAGTTTAGTTAATTTGTAAACCACAATATAAAAACAAACTCTTCTGGGGTCAGCAAGTGGTGTGGTGGTGAAGGTGCTGGAATTCCCACATGGCTGACCATGGTTCGAGTCCCGGACCTGGCAGCTCGCTCTCTCTCTCTCTTTCTCTTCTCTCTCTCTTCTCTCTCTCTCTCTGTCTTTCTCTGGCAAAACTCATGTGAAAATAATAATAATAATAATAAATAAAGTTAAATAAAATAATTAAAAAGACATTAAAAAAAAAAACTCTTCTTAGACTTCAATTTAATTTGACAAGGACACAGGCATATGGGGAGGAGAATTCCAAAAGCTAACACCAACTCAGCTGAGAAGAGTGAACGAAATTGAACCTGGGCCTTCGACTCCCACTAACAAAATATTTGTAACTTCATGTCCACAATAGTTAAAGGCTTGGACATCAACATAATGATGCGCACATAATCATTTCATTATATAGAAAAGATATTGTGATGCTAGGTTATTTGGCTGTTGAATTTATCTTTTGCAGGCTAAAATTGTAAAATGTAATCTAGCGGGGTCAACAGATGGCATGATGGTTAAGGTACTGGACTCCCACAGGTACCTGTGGTTTGAGCTCTGGACGTGGAGGCCAAAATCATGCAGGTTACATGTGCACGCATGACTAAAATCCAGAGAGGAGAATGGAGGAGATGGGATTATGGCATGGCCCTCTGGGGGAGGGGATGATTTTTCACTTTCCTTCTCTCTGTCTCTATCTGGCAAGTATACCCTCCCTAAGACAAAAACCTAAAAAAAAAAAAAAAAAAAAAATTTAAAGTCCAAAAGCTTCAAGCTACACTTTGGTGCAGTCTTAAGATCTTACTGGTTCTGAAACAGGAAATGATTACATAATGCTGTCTATGTAATATAACAATCCCTGTTTGTTATTTTTTAAAAGATTAAGAAATAAAACACAAAAATACAATATGAAACCTTTGTATAAAGGTTTCTTATTCAATCACTGTAAATACATCTTTCAATCTGTCAATATGAGCCTTATGTTAGGAAATATGGCATCAGGGGACCAGCAATTATCATAGTGGCTATGTCACTGGACTCCCAGGTAGTCGACCACGGTTCAAATCCCAGACCCCGTGGCTTAAAGCTCATGCCGGGGGCGTGTGCATGCGTGCCCAAGATTCCGAGAGAAGAACGGAGAAGGGATTGTGGCGTGACCATCCCCCCTGGGGGGTGATTCCTCGCTTTCTGTCTCTCTGTCTCTCTCTGTCTGTCTGGCGAGCGCATGTGCCCTATGGCAAAAACCCTCTCCAAAAAAAAAATATGGCATCAACAAATTCCATTTTAATTATATAAAATTTGCACTCCGTAGTTCCTCTTTGTCTTGCAAAGCACACATAATACCAACATCTATCCACTCTGATAGTCGCAGGTCCAGCAACCTCATGTATCCAGAGCTCAACAAGTTCAACTTAATCTTGTAAATGTTCTTTGCCCAGGACCTACTTAACTTTTCTAATTCTGAAGCTGTCTTGTGCTAATTCCCAATATGCAGAGGATCAGAAAGAAGTGAGAAAGGAAGCAGGGTACCATGCTAGCAAGACAAGCCTGGGTCTCTCAGCGACAAGAAAGAAAAATGAAATGCCTACAAAGCAAAATGATAACTCACCAGAACACAGCAGTCTCTACATCACTTATTCCTGAGATCAACAACTCTGCAAACACAAAAGCCCAGAAGACATCATTATGTTTTAGCACAACAAATAATAATGCTTATCATAATGGGTCTTCATCATTGAGAAGAAACTAAAAACTATTCTACCATATAAGATGACATTTTGCATTGTGTACATTAGGGGAGGATGTTGAAATATTTCTTTAAAGAAAATTAAGAAAGTAAAACAGTTATTGGCAATAGATTTTACAAAATCTATTCTTCCAGAGTGACTGTTGAGTAACTAAAGTATAATCCTAGATATTATCTACCACTCATTCTTCCAATTCTGTCCTCTTGGAACTTTAATTTACCCATTTGCACTTGAACTCCAGCCATGACAGCCAAGGCGTGATTGTTTGTACCATCAAGGACCTGCACTAGCTAAGCTCATATCGTAGGATGCCAACAAAACACTTCTACCTGCCTTAACTGTCTCGGATGTAGTTCCCAGGACAAGAAGCCAAAATACTTTCTCCTTGCCCAATCACATCTTCTGAAACTGGGAAACCATTGCATTTTGCAATCTCTAATGACTTAAAAATATCAACAAATAATAGTTATCCCTGCTCAGTGAAGACAGCAAGTGATATTTGAGCTTCTTCTCTGACCATCCCTAGCCAGGAAAGTTATCATTTGTGAATCTGATCAGTGCATAGATACCATCCCATAAGTGATCATATGCACTGAATGTGTCAGGGAGAAAAGGAGGTGACCTTGCAGATGAATCTGCTGGTGGCCAGGGTCTACGGTTCAGGGCACACAGTGATTTTCCACCTCCTTTGTGTTCCTCTGTCCTCAGACTCAAGCAAATATCTAGTCTCTCTGTTTTTGGTGCTGGCCTCTGACACAACACAGGAAATTTCTTCTCCTTTTCCTTTCTTTGACTTCTTTGGGGAATACATTCTTATGTATTTTTTCTTGATTTCCTCCAATTCCTTCACTGACACCTACTTTTTACACCTTTTTATTATTTTGTAGATTTTCTATTTTATATATAAATTTTCCTACTGTGCTTTTGTTCTTTGGCCAAATGTTATCATATTTTTCATTTTCTGTAACTAAAACATCAGTAAACACTGATAAGCAGTATTATTTGCTATAGTAAGATACACTGGTATTTTAGTTATTCAAGATCCCTGACCCTATGGCTTCTCAGAAATGCAAAGCAACCCCTCCTGTTTCACCCATATAAACATTTGTCTCTTCCCTATAGGAAAACTAACCCAACACTGTGTGAGCCTTTCTTTTATTTGTTTCTCTCATGCAGCATTTATCCTGATTATAGGAGCTAATATTTATTAGACCCTGTTATGTGACTTACGTGGTCCTAAGTTCTCAAGATGCACCACTTGTTTAATCTCCAAAATAATCCTCTGTGGTCAGGACTTGTATTTTTCTAAATTTGCCATATAATCAAATAGAGTCACAGCCTTGACCAAGGTCACTGAGTCAGTGCACATCAAAGTTGGAATAAGAACCCAGACAATCCACTTACTCCCAGCAGACTCTTAACCTTTGTTCTGCATTATTTCCCTGACATCATTTTTCCCATTTCTACCTTCACCGATATACACTTCTTCTGAGCTTTGGTCTTAGTGTTTCACTTCTAATAGGATAACACATTACTTTTGCATCCCGATAACAGATTTCACTGAATTCTTCAACATTCACTGGGCACTCATTTCTCTGTGGCAGTTAATTGAATGAAAGCCAAGAGATTTTTTTATTTCCTTACACATTAATACTTTCTCTCATTCCAATATAAATTCATGGTAGCATTTCTATTTTTGACATCTATGCCTTCCATAGAGCTTCACATTTTTTTAATTTAAAATGAATTTTTCCTTCTGCTAATTTATTCCTTTGCAGTATTCTTTAAAATCCTTTATCTGTGAGTTGTGTCTAAGTCTCATTTTGAGTGGTTTGACTTTGATCTTTAAATAGCATTCAATTCCAGCACTTACTCTCCTATGCTCTGTGATGTTTATTATCAAGGCTGCCCACCAAAATCTCAGCCATTTCTTCCTCCAATTCCTATCGTGCCTCTCCTCATGATCTTTAAGAAACTGTTCTCACCAAACTCCAAAGCATGATACAACTTTTAAATTATCTTCACAATAATTCAGAATGAATCTTTCACAAGAAATTCTGAGAAGAAAACAAGGTGAGAGCCAGATTTCCTTATAGAAGTTCTTCTCGTAATTTAAAACAAAAAATTCTCAGCCTTCTCTTCACTATGATCTAATAAATCCTAACCACAACCCTCCCACTCCCACCTCACTATAGAACACATATTGGATGTGCAGAAGTGAAAGTGATTTTATTATAAGTATGACTTAAAATGCATTATAATTTATCTATTGGGACATTGGAAAAGTCATGAAGTATTTTTGCATAGAAAAGACATCTAAAAAAATGAGTCATGACTCTTCCAACAAGACTATATATATATATATATATATATAGACAAAGCAAAGAATGACTGAGGAATGGAGGAAGTGGGAGAGGAAAAAAGCACTTATAAAGTCCAATACTTCCAACATTAAGTAGGACAAAGCACTATTAGTAACAAATTAACTTATTTTTCTTATGTGGAACTATAACTTAGCATCCTATTTTTCTATCTAAATTAAGTTAACCTATAACCATAATAGATTATATATCTAAGAAAGTGTTTGAAATATTCACCTAGCATTGGTTATCACTATATTTTATCTCTATGAATACAGTATCTTAATCTAAATCATGTAAGCCCACCTTACGTAAGGTAATTATTCATTTTTTTTAAATGTTCAGGAAGTTAAGTCCCTAATAGACTTGCCCTCATTCATTATTTTGCCAAAACTGCAATTTATTTAGATGCATTAAAATGAAATTCTTCACCTTCAGCTACTTTCCTTAACATAATGTAGAACTGTTGCTATTATTGGGGGTGGAGGTGCAGGTGGTAAAGGTATTTAGAATTTTCCTCCGAGATTACACATAAAGTAAAAATATTTAGAATTTTCCTCCGAGATTACACATAATACCTTTAAGAAACTACTACTCTGACAGTCTCAATAATAACAGCTATTGGGAAAAGGGCATTTCAGAAAAACTGCTCCAAGTTACCTGGTTCTCTGTTATGGTGGAACACCAAATGCACCCATGTATGGCTATCTAAATGGTAAGAGTAACTAGCTCTTAATGAGTGCCTGGAATTATCCTACCCCTGGCTCGATGATTCTTCACCACCTGTCAGGCAATGATGATTATGATCTTCATTTTAGATGAGGAAACTGACAAAGAGGAGTTAAGCAAATTGCCCAAGGTCTCACATGAAGTGGCCCTGTCCACGTCCAACCCAGGCAGTCTTGACCTTAGAGCCCAGTGGCAATCCTCTCTGTTCCGTGAATGTGCCCCTTCATACAGGGCACTCTGAGAAACAGGAAGACCCATTACCCAAAATTCTCTTCTACCTTTCGTTACAGTGTTGAAAATAGCATCATGCGACATTGATTTCTTCCTGTTGAAAGTCAAAATCCACTTGGTCAGACCCACTTACTGAAATGCAAATGCTTTCAG